CGGACGGCTTTGGGCAGTCCCTGCCTCCTTGCAGCTCCCGGCTGGGAGAATCGGAAACCTGTCGGGCTGGTTTGGTCAAAATTCTGTCTTGCAAGTTCATACTGCTTGCTCCTATCTCTCCCAGAAGGGGATCACCCAGGACCGAGGTCCCTGGAGGTCCAAGGCCGGCCAAGGGGCCATGTGAGTACAGAGTTACAACAGGCAGGGAGGGCCCTTCCAGGAGCTGGGTGGACTGGAGTGTTGGGTGCTCACCTTGGGGGCTGGAGACGCAGCTCAGGCTTCAGAACAGGAGGCCGGGAGGCAGAAGGCAGGAAGCAGAGGGCCTGGGAGGCGGCGGGAGGCAGGGACAGGAAGGCTGGCCTGCCTTCTCCTGTGGGAGGAATGGAGGACTGCCTGATGCCTGGTCCTGGGGACCAAGCAAGGAGAGGCAGGCTCAAGGGTTTCCCGGGCAGAGCTTTGGGGGCAGCAAATGCTGGCACGGCGGCCCCAATCTCTACAGGGGGCTCCAGGGCCTAGGAATAGGCTGGTGTCCTAGACCTCTGACTGCCTAGCTCCTCGGTGTCTGTGCAGCCAGGTCCAGCCACCACAACTCTTGAGCTTGGCAGGGGACCATGCCAGGACCTGAGACTGAGTCGGTAGCTGCTGCAGCATTGCAGCAGGCAGTGGGAGACAGTAGGATCAGTCACTAGTCTACTCCGTCTCCTGCCCCCAGCCTAGGAGGTTGGAGTCAGGTTGCATGGCCCTCTGTTACCTGAGCTGCAAATCTGCCTTATTCTTTGACTTGTGCCCAGGCAAGCGGTGTGCACACAAGCAGGAGACATGCAAATGTCTGTGTCCACCTGCCTGTGTGTACACAGCCTTCCCTAGCCCCATCTAAGGGTTGTGTGTATGGCAAGGGATGGGCTGAAGTTGCGCAAAGGCATTTACTTTTAGCATGTATACACAGATGTGGGGTTCTCCAACTGGAGATGTTGCTCTGTCTGTCTGTGGTGGCTACCCTGTCTATGGGGGTTTATGTGTCAAAAAGATACCAGAAGACACCCTCCTAAGTAAGAAAACCTCTGCAAAGAGCTTGCCACACAGGCTGACCCGAGGTTGCCAGGGGGCCTCTTTGTATCTAGGCTGTATCTCTCATGAGCTGATGATTGCAGGTAGATAACGTCTCAGATCTGTATAAAATAATAGCTGCCGTGGGTGATTAAGAAGGTCACGTGGGAGCACATGGGATTAGAAGCACCCCGTTCCCTGCCTGGCCCCCTGGATCAGGTATGGAATCCCATTACATATCAGATCCATGTCTCCCAGTCACCACCACCAGACTCACGAAGGGGGAAACAAAGGCCCAGACAAGTAGTTTGGCTAAAACCACTATGGGAGATGCTTTGCCCATCACCGCAGTCTCCCACACAGAATGAGAGGAGGTGGAAGCAGCTCATCTTTGGTTCAAATCCAGCCTCCACCTCCTCGCCTCTTGTCTGCTTATGTCTTGGAGGCTGATTGCATAGCATGGGGTACTCAGTACTTTCTCCAAAGCCAAATGGACTCCAATCCCATTCTGGTGGTGTTCCTGGCCCTAGGGTGGCCTGTCAAGGTAGACAGCAGGCCAGGTAATAGCTTGGCTTCCTGGGGAGATGTTAACGTCCCTGAGCCAGAAAATCCCTCACAAGGTACATACAAGGTGCTGCTGTGCTGTGTACAGGAGCTTCTGCTGTCATTACCACCGCTGTGGCCATGGCTGCTTTCTGTGGATGGGTGGACCAACCAACCCCTCATCCTCGAAGAAACAGAATGAAGGCCCACTAGAAGAAAGGGGCTAGGCATTAAGGACAGCCTCGGTGCAGCACTCCGATTTAGCACTCTAGAAAGGGAAGGAAGCCAGCTGCCATCACCCGCCAGCGACAGGAGACCCCATAGAACACTGACCAGGTATGGCCACTGACCCACCACTTGGGCTTTGCCGCTGGGCCAGAAAGCACCTGGTCTTACTGAGAGTTACAGCTGGGACCATGAGCCCTCACCTGTAGAGAACGGATAGCACCTTCCCTGGGAATGGCCACCAAAACCACGGACTAGTGAGCACTCTGTGGCCACCAAAACCACGGACTAGTGAGCACTCTGTGGCCACCGTTGATAACAGGCCTCTGCTCTGAACATGAGGAGGGATTTCTCTTCCTACAAAAGGTCTTTTTGTTTGTGAGACTCGGGCCTGTCACAAGGAGGGAGGGCACTGTCAGCCCTCTGGGGGGCTGTACATGCGAGCGATAAGAAGTTCAGGGTTCTCTCTGCCACACACAGAATACGCATCACCTGCCTTTCACCTGGAACATGTGACGCTGGTGGGACTCTTACAGAAACCCAGTACAGGGCATGGGTGTGTCATTACCCCACCCCCCCAGAAGAGGAGTCAGGGGCTTAGGGGGTAAAGCGACTTACCCAAGGCTATACATAGGAAGGACAAGAATTGTACTTAAAAGTCGGGGCTGGCACTCCGGGCTGGGGCAGTGGCTCTCCTCTGAGACACCAGCCTGCTGGCCTGCCGTAATTGGCAATGGGGAACCCCTGCCTCCTCTCAGAGGCCACTCTGGGGAGATTGAGGGGCAGCTGGTCTGAGGTAGGTGAGCCTGAAGAGTATGTGGGAGTCCTGAGAAGCAGGTGGAGGCTCTACAGAACAGGTATGGCTCTATAGAGCGGGGAGGGGGGGTCTGAGGTTCAGGTGGGGCTCCTGGAAAGGTCGTAGAGGCGCTTGAGGCAGCAGAGGCTCCCACAGAGCATATAGGTGCCCTAGAATGTAAATGGGAACCTGGAGGTGCCAGTAGGGACTCTTGAGAATTAGAGGTTCCATGGGGCAAGTGGAGATCCTTGGAGCAAGTGAGGGACTGGGGGATGGGTACAGGGAGCGAGGCTGAGCTTCAAGCTGGCTTCCTGGGAGTTGGGCAGAGTTTACAGTATGCCTCCTAGTGAGAACATGTGACCGAAGGCTTCTGCTGCTCCTCAGGCTTCCTCGCTGTAGGGTGCTTTCCTAGGCTCTGACAGGGGAGGGACCCAGTTTAGCAAGCGACAAGCTCTGATTTGTTCTGGTGAGCTGCACAGAGTTGGTTTGAGTAGGGCTCAACCTGTCCACATAGAAGCCGTATCTCGCATGCAGCCTCCTGCCTCTTGCCAGCTTCGATTCCGAACAAAACCCCACCTCTGTCCCTGTGTCTTCACAGACAAAGGGAGGCAGAGTAGGCCTGAAGGTGTGTAATGTCTGTGTAGGTGGCAGCTGCTCCCAACTTTGTGCCTGCCTCCCCAACCGCCCAGGCAGCAACAAAAGACGCAGCAGAGGCTGCTCTGTAGCCTTGTCCTTTTCCAGCTCCTTCCCAGGGATTCGGGGCCCACTCAGACCTTCCGGAGTGAGGGCCCTGTCTAGGGACCCCTAAGGTTCAGGCTTAGGGCTCAGGTCTCTTCCTACCCCACCACCGATCTGTGGTTACAGCCCCAAAGCACCCCTTACGTACCCCTGGGCTCTACCCTTCAGGGTTTACTCTTCCAGGCTTCTCCTCACTTCATAGCTCCCTACAGCAGGATGTAAAATACAACCTTGACCCACACCCACCTAGAGTTCCCTGCGTTCCCAAGTTGCTAGCCAACTTCAGCAAGCCTAGACTCACAGAGCAGCCCTACTGAGGACAGCCACTCTGCTGACCTGTTGCACAAGGCTTCGGGGCATAGGCCTATGTATTTTTAAAAAGCCATTTTAAAAGTTCATTCTACCCATGGTCACCCATTTCTGCACCAAAATGCCAAGGCTTTCTTCAGAAAGCACCCAGGTGACTAACCACCCCTCAATTTCCTTTCCCTGCCCAGACCCCCAAAACTCCAGAATGGTAGATGCTGGATACAGGGACACTCTAGGCATGGCAGGGCCCCAGAAAACTGACTTTCACTTTATCTCAGTCATATGTGTCTCTGCCATCTGCCTACCAGGGAAGCCACATCATCCCTATAGCTTGGTCTTGTCATGGCCCTGGGTCCCTGGACAGGATGCACCATCTAGATCTGAAGGAACTAAGCCAGCGTACAGCAGAGAATTCAGGACTTCCCTTTGGGGACCTTGAGGATAACAGCCAAGTGGTGTGTGTGTGACAGGCTAGAATACAGAAAGAAAACAGCATATGGACCCAGAGCCCATACAGGACTCGCCCAAGCCTACAGGCACCTCAGGATCCCTTGACCAGTTCCTCTAGAGGTGTTGGCCCAGCCCATAAAGCAGATGCTAGGGGCCTGGAGAGAGCCACCCGCTGGGCGAGTCTGAGTGGAATTACAGGTGCCTTCCTAGCCCTGTTTGTCCCAGCCAGCTGGTCCCACCTCCTAGCCCTTAGCAAGGTAAGGCCTACACAGATGAGCAAAGGGCTCTCTGGAAAACATCCCAAGCTCATACTGGGTCGGAGTTCAATTCTACCTCCCCTGTGAAAGGGCAAGACCTCTTTGAACTTCAGTTTCCCCCACTGGGAATGAAGTTCCTGGAGATGTCTTGAGGGTTGGATGGCTCTGATGATAAAAGTGATACCTGTATTGAATTCAAGGAAGAAAAAAAGGCAGCTGAGTCAGCCTCTGGCAGTCAGCATTGGGGGGGTTAGTTAACCCACAAGGACAGCCCTCCTTGGGATGGGCCTCAGCTCCCAGCCGCTAGCTGAGGGTCCCCCCAGTTCTTCATTACCATACCCCTCACCTGCCAAACACAGACCCACCAGCTATCACTTCCACTGGAGCTCGGGTGGCTCTGTAAGCAGTTTGGGAGCTCGCCTCCTTCCTGGTTTCTGTCCCCACACCATAGATGTCTGCTCAGTGAGCTCCTGTGGCCATTTACTCTCTACCCTTCCCCTGAGCAGCCCCTCACAGTGAACATGGAAAGTTCACCTACTTTTCAGCCCACGTCCCCTACTTAAATCAACCCCTCTCCCCACTCTCCTCTCTGCAGGCTGGACCCAGAAGGGCTGTAAAAGTCCCAACCCTCCTCATAGGAGCGCAGAGTGGCCAGCACACAAGGAGCCATGGACAGCTTCATGGAGTCACTGAACAGACTGAAGGATGCCCATGAGAGGGAGGTCCTGGGTGAGTGGTCAGCAGAAAGGAAAATGCTCTTGGGGGTTCTGGGCAGCTTAGGGAGCTTCCAATGACCCCGTCTGGTACTCAGTAAGTCTGTTGGAGGACAGAATCCTGACCCAAGGACACAAGTTGCCAAGCATTCAGATGCCCAGTGTTGGCCCAGACTTGGTTCCGAGTACTTCCTCATCCAGAATATCTACACCCTATGGTGTATACCAGGAGAGGAAATATTTGGGGATCACCGTCAACACCTCATGACTACAAGCTGCATCCAGCCCCCAAGCATGTCCCTGCGGTGCCCTCTCAGAGGGCTGGCAGGCAGCTCTCGTACAACGGCTCCTCACCCAGAAGGAGAGGCTGCCCACTCTAGAGGCTCCTAAGGCCATCTGCTAAGATCCCCGCTGCTCAGGGTGCCCTCCGTCTACAGCACTGCAGTTCCAATTCAGTACTTGGAGGCCTTCCAGAAAGGGCCATCTGAAGGTCAAGGCAGCCAGACACTCCCCAAGCCTCAGGGAAGAAGCCAGTCTGTCCTTCTGGGAACCCCCAGGCCTACCCAGGCTGGGATCGGCCTCACTGGATCCCAAAGAGGAGTGTGTCAGCGAGAACTTGCTCAGAAAGCCAGTTGGTCGCACATCTAGTGTTATTGGAAATGTCCTAGAAGCATGGCCATACAAGCTAGGGTTGGTAGGGTTTCATCTTGACAGGGGAGGAGTCAGCACTGACCAAGAGGAGACCAGGCCACTCCCTAAAGAGGAGTGGACCTTTTTTGCCAATTGGTTTGGGCTGGCAGACAACCCTCGCCTACTTAAAGTTGGGTACACGGGAACTCAGGGTGGGGCAGAGGCTGCTGAACCCTGGGGGCAAAGAAGTTGCAGCCGCTGAGAGAGAAGATGGCCCCGCCCCGAGATCCCCGCCCTGAGATCCTGCTGCTTTGAAGACTGAGTAGAACCTAAGTAGAAGAGAAAGACAGGTGCCAGCCTTCCCATCCCATTCTAAGTAGACATTGGCAGGTCCAGAAGTTAGGAGCATATCTAGCTTCCCTTGCTTAACATTAGCGCTGCCCCATTAAAAAAAAAAAAAGTAGCCACTCTCTGCTCCTACCAAGTGGCCAGCCACTTCCAGGATAGAGTCCCAAGCCTCAGTTCAGGAAACCAGAACATCTGGGCAGCGGGTACAGATGGGATGTCCTCCCCACACGCTTACAAGGCAGATAGCAGGAGTCTGGAGAGGATCCCATGTGACAACCAGGGCAGGAGCTTCCCCTTCGTGCCTCAGCCCTACCCGCGCTGTGAAGAGGCTGGGCCTGATCTGCACCTCTCCATTCTCTCTGCCAGGCCTGCAGAACAAGCTTCTAGTACTGAACTCGGAGCGGTACCGGTGAGTCAGCCCAGCTGAGCCGGTGGAAGGGACAGTTGCTCCCACAGGCCATGGCCACCCACACTGCCCCCAAGGATCCAGGAGGCAGCACACACAGCATCCCAAATGAAGAAGGGAAGCAGTGTGGTAGGGAGAGGGGCAGGGAGTCTCTAGGCCAAGGTGACATACTACTTACATGCTAGAGCAGGAGTGGACCATGGGATGTCAGCCCCAAGGAGACCGACGGAGACCAAAGCACCCGTGACAGTATTTGTCGTGAGGTCCAACAGCCAGCCTCAGTTGCTGCTGGCTGGCCTGTAGTTCGCCTTCCTATGCCCCATCTCTGACTAAACCACTGGTTCTCAACCTCCCTAACGCTGTTATCCTTCAACACAGTTCCTCATGTTGTGCAGACCCCAATCCTAAAATTATTCTCATTTCTACTTCATCCCTGTAATTTTGATACTACTATGGAGCTGTGTTTTCCGATGGTCTTAGGTGACCCTTGTAAAAGGGTTATTTGACCCCCAAGGAGTCACGACCCACAGGATGAGAAACAATGGCCCAGAGCAGGGTCCCCGTATGCGCCATAGCTGAGGTAGCATGAAGGCAGCTCTATCCGCAAGGGTAGAACTGAGCCCCCTTTGAAGAGCCACACTCCAGGACAGGTCCCCACAAGGAGCTTCCAGGGAGGATCCTCCCAAACCCACACTACAGTAGGCATCAAGACCAGCAGCCCACCTCGGCTGTTTGCCACACAGGGATGCACGGAGAGTAGAGGAGCTCTTCGCCAAGAACCACCAGCTCCGGGAGCAACAGAAGGCACTGAAGGAGAACCTGAGGGTGCTGGAGAACAGGTAAGGCGGATCCTTCCGGAGCCAATGTGGGCGCTTTTAGCAAAGGCCAAGCCAGACAGACGTCTCCACTGCAGGGCTTCGCAGAACCGTTAAGAGAACCTGCTTTCCAAAATTCCTTCCCAATCATGGGATGCTAAGCCCCTGACAGGGGACAGGCCTAGGGGGACCATGGAACACAGCCGGGAAAGGCAGGATGTGTACTGGCAACCTGGCAGAAAGAACCAAACATCTGCCTCAGTGTGACTTCTGCCCCCAGGCTGCGGGCTGGCTTATGCGATCGCTGCATGGTCACCCAGGAGCTGGCCAAAAAGAAGCAGCTGGAACTAGAAAGTGCACACCTACAGAGCCTGCAGCACCTCTGCATCCTCAGTGAGTCACACCCACAGGCCAGGTACCCCAGGGACACTCTGGTTCCCAGACACACATGTGGGACGGGGCCCCCAGCGGCCTGTCTGTTCTCACGTCAGTTCCCGGGGCCAGGGCATTCCTGACTCTCCTGACTGACCTTCCTGGGGAGCCCTAGGGACAAGCTGGAGTGCCCACTTCACCCTTCCGCACACCTCAGACAGAGGTTTACCCAGCACCATGCCACACCCAGTATCATCATCTTCCCTCATGCTACGTATGTGCCAGGCTAGAGCAAGACGGACGAGGAGGGCGTCCCTGGTATTGTGGGAGTCCCTTGCCTCCATCCTCCAATGCCTCCAATCGCCGCCACTCTTTGCAGCCAATGAGATGAATGGACTGCGGGAGGAAAACAAGACCCTGAAGGAAGAAGTGAAGAGACTCCGGAGCCTGGGGTGAGTGGGGCAGGACCGGCCCAGTCTTCCTAGAACCCTGCCCCACAGAGTGGCGGCCTGCCTGCCTCGGAGGCTCCAGCTTCTGCATCATCCTCACCAGCCTTGTGTCCTCTCCAGAGACAAGGCTGCACTCCAGGCCTGGGAGGACACTTCGGAGCCCCCATCACCCAAGCCACTCCTTTCCCCTGGTAACCGGAAGGGCGCCACCGAGAACCCGCCAGGAGGCCCAGAGAAGGCTGAGGAAGAACCGCCAGGCGCAGGTCCACGGGGACAGTAGGCAAGCTGGGAGACTGGGTGCCTGGCTGACCCCACAGCTTCTCCCTAGCTCCCTCCCTGTCACTCTTCCCCCCACAGATAAGGTGCCGAGCCACAGGGCATCTCCAGTGGCCAGAATCTCCCCAGCTGCCAACCTGCCTGAGCCAAGGGCCCTGGACATGGTGAGGACATGGGTCCTAACCCCCCGCACCCCAACACTCACTGCCGTCCAGGCGAGCGAGCGGGCTGGCAGCCATAGTCCTGCTGTGCGCAAGGTGCTATGCGCCAGCTTCACACCCGGCAGGCCTGTCCCCGGGCCGCACGGGGATACTGAGCTTCATGTGAGGTGGGAGAGGCAACCCTGGGTGAGGTGCCCTGCCTGGCTGACCTGCCCACCCTGTACAGAGCCCTCAGTGCATCTCCAACCAACTGCACTCAACAGTAGCCGTGGTGCGGCCTGGCTCCCGGGCCTGCCCACCGGACTGTGGCATTGCCAATGGAACACCCCCGCCGCCATCCGCCAGAAGCGGCCCACCCAGCCCAACATATGAACGTGGCTTCCCTGTGGACAGGTGAGGCCCTTCCCACCACTGAGAGCAGCTCTCTGCTGGTGGCCCATAGTAGAGGACCAGCAGCCGGGGAAGTGCTGCTCAGTCCCCGAATTGACGTCTCGGGACACCCTGGTTGATTCGCAGTTCTCACATCTCCTGAGTGACCAGGCCGTGGTGGAGGCAGGACACTGGTATACACCTTGGCTGGGACACTCAGAAGGCCTATGTAAAGTCCAAGTCTCATTGCCCAGCAGAGCCAGTGGGGCTGTGGAAGATAGATGGGAGGGCCACTCTCGGTAGCTGGTACGCCACCCGTCCCCAAGATGTTCTAGTTCACATTCTGTGTCCGTGATAAACAAAAGCTCTGTCCAAAGTCAGCTTAAGGAAAGAAAGGGTTATTTCAGCTCACAGGCAGAGGTTCACCATTGAAATCATGGCAGAAACTCAAGCAGGAACTTGAAGACAGGCCTGCTTGCTATTATTCTCTGAGTGTTACCTCTATCAGAGAACTCACTGCCAAGGAAGTACAGCCAGCAGACACCGTGGAGGAGGATGCTTGCTAGCTGGCTCTTACACTAGCGTTCAGCCAGCCCTCTTATACAGCCAAGGAGCATTTGCCCAGGGGATGGTGCCACCCACCCTGGACTGAGCTCTCCTACATCAGTTAATGATTAAAACAATCCCCCACACATCAGCCAATCAGATCTGGGCAGCCCTCTCAACTGAGACTGTCTTCTCAGGTGACATTAGGTTGTGTCAAGTTGACAGCTAAACCTAACTAAGGCACAGGAGAAGACAGAGGACCCAGTGTGCAGGCTCTGGGTCCTCTGTAGCCAAATTTGCCACCTTCTATACGTAGCGGCCTCCAGAACGAGGGCATGAGAACCTGCCCTCTCTCCCATGGCCATATGACCTCAGGTGGTTTGCTTGACCATCCATGAAGTGACCTGCCTATTGTCCTCCCTCTGGGAGCTCACTTAGCCAGTCACTGCTGGCCAAGGGCCAGTATCATCACTCTTCTCTTCCCTAGCTTCCTGCGGGCCTGCCAGCCGTCAGCCATAGCCTACGAGACCCTGAAGCGCTCCCTTCAGACGGATCGCCTCTGCCTCCTGAACCGCCACCTGCACAGCCCCCACAGCAGCCCCCTGGCTCCTGCTACAGCTGCCAATAGCCCCCTGCCCCAGGGCCTGAAGACTAGAGAGGCCGAGGCATGGGAGCCTGGTGCCTCGGTGGGCATACAGGACCCACGGCTGGAAGGAGTATTGCTGCTGCTGATCCAGCAACAGCTGCGGGCACGGGCAGGCAGTGCCAGCTTGAGGGTCCCATCGGCACAAGAAGACGCGTCACCTTCCCCACCAGCTGGCTCAGATTCTGAGAGTGAGACCCCCAGGACAGCTCTAAGCACACAGGCCCAGCCTGATGGGTGGCATCCTCAGTCCGAAGGCCAATGTAGCCCCACAGGGAAGGAGGAGACACATGTGACCACTCAGGACTGCCCCCCAGACAAGCCTCTGGACCTGTCTGACCGGGGAAGGTGTAGGGACGTCCCCAGATCCACTGGTCAACCTTTGCCACTCAGCATCTCAGTTGTCCGCACTCACAGCCCCAAGCTGCCCACCTTGTTCAGACCTGTACCTCGTAGCCCCCATACTCCCAGCACCACACAGAGCAGAGCTCAAGAGCCTGAAGAACACCCAGCTCCCCAGGTAAGGGTCCCAGCCCTGTGCTCACCCTCTATGCCCCCCCCCCCCGCACTGCAGGACAGCATTTACACCTCCTTGGGCTGCCTTCTCTCTCCCGCATCAGTTGGTACAGCGTGGCTTCCCTGTTCACATGAGGAAGGAAAGGATGCACACCTACTACCGCCTGAAGATGGAGTTGTCTCATCTTCACACACACACACACACACACACACAGAGAGAGAGAGAGAGAGGGAGGGAGAGAGAGAGAGGGGGAGGGAGAGAGAGAGAGGGGGAGGGAGAGAGAGAGAGAGACTCAAACTATTAATTCACCTCTCCCAGGACACCTCACACCCCCTCCCAGGGATCCATGCCAGCCTGGCCTCTCCTGGAAGGACAGCGGAGGAGGCTGGAGGAAGGCCCAGACCAGTACCCCACCTGCAGAGATCTGACCCGGATGGGACCACAGGTAAAGTCAGCACTCAGAACGAGTGCAGAGGGAAGGGAGGTGAGTGGCCGCCTGCTGGACTCCAGTTGGGTCTCTCCCACTGTGGATAGAGGCTCTGAGGCCCAGAAGACATGGCTCTATCCATTTTGAGGGAGGGAGGACACCAACCCACAGGGCTGTACCTAGCAGGTAGGCCTGGGTTCAGATCTCCAACAAGAGACCCGGGGCATGTCACCAATCCCTCCATGTTCTCATCTGAAGAGTTATTTTCCTCCTCCTGGGGCTGCATGCCCAAGGCCACCAGCCTGGCTGATCCCAATTGTGTCTTTCAGAGTCCAGCAAGCTCAGGGCACAGAGGCCAGAGTTGGAGCAACTGGAAGAGTCAGACACCAAGGTGAGTCCTCAGCCACTCATTCAATGTGGCCCTGGCAGATGCCCAGGCAGGAGAGGGGGTGTTCATTGTCCTGAGAGTGTCTCCTTCTGCCCAGGTGGGCCTGACCTCTGAGGCCAGTGCAGAGCCAAGCATGCCGGGACAGGGACACGCTGGGGACCACCAAGGAGGATCACAACAGAAGAGGAGGCGGACCTCAGATCTTCAGGACAAAGGTACCCTCCTCCTGCAAAGGCAAACAGAGCAAGGTATGCGGTAGGAATCCCTCCTAGACACTTGGTGCATGGCCTCTGGGGACCAGCTAAACCCTGAGGCTCCCTAGCAAAGGCCTCTGTGAAACCTGACCAAATGACCTCCCGGAAGTACTTCTGGGCCTTAACTTCCTTCTCTCAAAAGGACCGACACCAGAGCTCCATAAAACTTGAGTGGGACAAAAGTGGAGATTATCAGGGCTGGGGAGCTTTCTCAGCTAGTAGAGGGCTTGTCTAGCATGCACGAGGCCCTGGTTTCTATCCCCAAAACACACACACACACACACACCACACACACCACACACACATCTCCCACAGGGGACAATATTCAATATTTGGAGGTTTTTTTTTTTTTTTTTTTGCTTTGAGACAGCAAAGTTAAGTAGCCCTAACTGACCCAGAATTTACTCTGTGGGCCAGAGAGGCCTCCGGCTCTGCCTCCTGTCTCTGTCTCCTGAGTGCTGGGATTAAAAGCATGTACAACTACACCCAACCGCATCGAACGATGTAAATCACATTGTCATCTTCAGCTATATAGCAAGTTCAAGGCCAGCCTATGCTATTATGAGCCCATGTCTAAAAAAAAAGGGAAGACAAAACAAAGACCAGGACTGAGGTCATTTGTTACTGTCCCCCCCCCCCGAAAGCAGCACCTTGAGACTCACATCCTCGGACCCTCGGCACACCTTTTGGTAGCCACATCCCCCAGCCCTGTTTTCCTTGGGGTTAGGGTTGCTCACGTGTTTGCCCAGGGCGGTGCCTTTGAGCTCAGCTTTCCGAGATATGATAGCAGGCATCTCAGCCTGGTCCCGAGCTTGAGAATCAGGACACTTCCTGCTCCAAAGCACAATGGTGAGTCTTTGAACACCTAAGCTAATATGCATGTGGCCTGTGTTTGCCCAGGCTACAGCTGAGCAGGCTGGGGCCACCACAATAAGCCATTGTTACCGGAAAGGGACTGACCGCAGCCTGTGTTTGCTCCGAGTGGAGGCCAGGGTGCCTGTGTCATTTCCAAGCACTTCCTGCTGTGTGAACATGAGTGGGGTGTGGTCCACGGGGTTAACCCAGTGTGTCACCTCTCACACGGAGCAAGCCAGCCCCCCCTTATCCTCCCAGGTAGAACTGGGCAAGGGTCGGACGGCTGGCACCGGGTTCCCTGTGAGTGGCACTCCTCACTGCCTGGTGGTCAGCGAGAACAGACGCACAGTCTTGTAAGCGCCATGGTCCTTTTTACCTGGCAGGGCGTCCACACGGCCCAGCATTATCCTGAGACATGCAGAATGGGAGGCGTATATGTAGTCGTCTCTGCCTTGGGTCTACAACCCCGCCTGGCAAATAGAATTGACACTGCCTGACAGGTGGGGGAACTCAGGCTTGATGAGTTCGTTAGCCCAAAGCCACAGTCTCCTGCATAGACCCAGCATCTCAGAAGGTCCTGGGTGTGACGTGCCCGGAACCAGATGCCCCTCCGTTGCACTCTGTGTCAGTGAGAGAGACTATGGGGTCAGGCTCTGTGAGAGGAATGGCCCTTTTGCCATTCTCTTCTTCTCCCCCTCCACCCCCCGCCCCATGCTCCAGCCATTCAACATCTTCTTAGGAACAAGAGTGGCCAACTGACTTCACCAAGTAGAGCTTTCCTGAGCCTAGAAGTTGAAAGCCAGAGAAACATCTAGGGAGCACATTTAAGACCTCTTCTAACTTCGTATTTTCCACAGCCCCCAAGAAACCATCTCAAGGGAAGAAGAAACCGAAGGAATCTCTGACTCCAGCAGATGGCCCCCAGAGCCCGAGGGACATGGAGGATTCCAGCCCCTCCCCAATTAACAACTGCCAGGAGTCCTAACCCATCAGACTGAGGGACACTTGCCCAGAGGTGGCTTTCTGTCACAGACTATCGCTTGCACAAGTCAAACCACCCAACCTGAAGATAGCCTGTAACAGTCAATGCGGCCCGGGTTCTTCCTACTTCCAGAGGGGCTGGTGAGCCACACCCCCATCACAGGTCTCTGGACAGCTCCTCCTCCTCCCAAACCGTAGGAAGATGGCGCAACACCTGGAGGCAGGGCAGGGAATGGGAGGAGCTTCGGTACAGCTCCACCCCCTGCTTTTTCTAGGAAACGCCCCCACCTCCAGGTGCAAATGGGGGTCATCTACCCTGCCGACTTTTCCAGCCAGGAAGGAAGCTTCGGGCAGCGGTCTCAGGCGCCCCCTTGTGGAGTCTGAGCAAATGCAGCCAGCAAAGTGGAAAAAGGCGAGGGTGCCTAGTTAGATGTGACCTCCGCAGAGCTCAGGGAAGAATGTGAATGGCATTATATATGCAGCTGGCAGGGCTGAGGCGTTAACCCCTTTATGCAGGTGACCCAGGACTAACTGGATCCAAGTGCACGAAGGCAGAGCAAAAGTAGCACTGGGTTCTGAAGAGCCGCTGCACACTAACAACACTGTGTTGGTGAGGCTGGTGTGTCAGAGTCTTTGCGTTTGATCAGTCCTGAGCCACTGGGTCATGGGGGGGGGGTATTGAAGAGACTCGGGGGAACCTGCGCGTATGAAGTTGAAAAGCTTCCACTTCCAGAACACAGACAGACATCTGTGGGCAAAGGGGTAAAAGCACGGAGGCAGGGTCCAGTGTGGGAAGAGAAAAGAAAGGGAGAAGAGGTCTTGGGGAGGTCAAGGAAGGTGACATCTAAAACCTAAATTAGGATTTTGAGGGATGAATAGGAGTGTGCCAAGTAGACAAAGTTCCTAGCATGATTTTCGTTTGTTTGGGGGTGATTATTTGTTGTTGTTTTGAGACAGGGTTTCTCTGTGTGGCTTTGTAAACCAGGCTGGCCTCAAACTCACAAATTTTGCCTGCCTCTGCCTCCCGAGTGCTAGGATTAAAGGCGTGCACCACCACCACCCAGCCCTAGCATGCTTTTATGAGTATTAGATGCCTGCTGAGAGGTCCGAGTGAAGGCCAAGCAGAACTCCCTTGATTATAACTGAGGAAGGCCCGAGCTGGCCAAGCCACATAGAAGGAACGACAGCTTAAAAGAGGTGCTGTAGAGTAAGGTTTCAACTGTAAGTCTGAAACCTCTGGAACGGGAGAAGCTGTCACTGGGGCTGGGTGGGGCCTGCCACCTGAGAGGCCAGAAGGACTAAGTTCCAAGGGATATCCGAGGGGAAGGGTGTGCATGTGTGCATTCGTAGGTGTGTGTGTGTGTTCAAACAGTTGTTACAGGTTTCTTGAGTTTTTTTTTTTTTTTTCCAAAATTAAATAAAACGCAAGCTGTATGCTCTACTCTAAGCTCCTGGAGTTTGTTCTGTGAGGGAACACACCACAACACCACACCCAGGAAGTAGCCAAATTCCTGCCTAAATGCCCCTCAAACCCCACAGTGCCTGCCAGCATTGGGGTCCAGCTCTAGGGCTAGGCCCACATCCATGGCACCCTGTTGAGGACACACATCTTTGCCATCTCCATTTGACAGTGGCTTCTGTTGGCCATTAGTTTGTTGTCCCTTTCCCATTGAGGATTGTGCACGTTGGCATCAAGGAGCCGGAGCCACCACACCACAGGTGTTGGAAACCAGCAGTCTGCTGACCCCGCCCCCTGACGAGGGGCGAGACCCCCCCATGGCCATGTCATCCCAATATCACTCATTATGGAGCTGCGTAGGGGACTCAGTTTCCCTTTTAAAGCAAGTGTGCCCCCTCTTTCTCTTTCTTCCTCCCTTTTGCTCTCTCTCTCTCTCTCTCCTGCTTTTGGCTGGCCACCAGCTACCCCCCTCTTCTTCTCTTCCCGTCTCTCTCTCTCTCTCTTCTGTTCCTGGAGCCTCTGTGTCTCTTCCCTTCCCCCTCACTCCCCTTTCTAAATAAACTCCTCATTTAAGCTCTATCTGCCTGGCGTGTTATTCCCTCCACCTCCGCCCTGGTCACCCTCACCGGCTATGCAACCTGCTGTGCTCTCCTACGTGGTCCCTTACCTTGGGACCCCACTCACTTGGGACCCTCACCCGGGACCACCCCCACCCCTTCTCCAGATTTTATTCCTATAACTGTAACAGAAGAACAACAACAGGCCCAACACTACAGTGTCTCACTCACCCCTGCCAAAGCAACTTAGGCGCACAAGTACATCATTGTTACTGGGGACCAAAACCCAGGTGAGTCACCCCATGGTCACTGGCATTAGTGGGGGCTAACAGCAGCCTGAGCGTCAAGGGTACCACACCCAGGTCATCAGACTCCATGACCCCTTCGGTGTTTAGTCCTACCCTCTGACGGAAATGACTATCTCTGGGGAGGCCCACCACACACTTGGACTAAGCCCTGTATTCTACTAGAAGAGACAACTGCCCACCTTACCACTGATTACTGGCAGAGGCCAGCTTGGAAAAGGCGAGGAAGAAGAGGAGAGGGCAGGGTAAGGGTGAGCGTACTTATGCGGGGATGAAAGAGGCAGACTGCCAAGGAGTGGAGGGGGTGGCGTCAGAAGGATCAGCCTGCCGGAACCTTGAAAGCAGGGAGGGAACTTGCAGTAAGGCCTCCTGTGGGTCATGGCACTGACAGATTCTCCTCCAAGCAAAGAAGCCACTTCCCAGGGTTCCCTGTCCCTCAACAACTCCACCCCAGCACCGGAGGCAGCAGCCACAGGACCCGAGAGCAGGCAATGGCCAGAGACCGGAACATAGGCTGGGAGCTGGAAAGAGCCTATGGTGGCAGGATGTAAGGGGGCTTCAACAGCCTCTCTACACTGAGGACGGACATACACTCACAGCACACAGCCAAAAAACGTCTGCAGACTCAAGCCCTGGCCTTTGACGACCGAGCGCCATGCAGACTCAAGGCCACATCAGTGCCGAAACTTAGGCAACCCAAGAAGGTGCCAGCTGTCCTCAGACCATAGACGGGTCTCTTCTGCAGACAGTGGGGCGATCGGGTGGGCCCGCTGGCTGGCACAGCCCGGAAGCTGTGGGCTCTGGTGGCTCCAAGGGTGGATGCCCAACCCAGAGGAACCTGTGAGCCTGGAGGGCAAGTGGCCAGGCCTGGCTCACATCCCGAGTCCGCGGCCCATAATGACCATTCTCTGCAGCTTGCCCCGCACACTGCGTCTGGACAAGAGAATAAGACACTGGCGCCTTGCACCCACCGACCTTGCGGTCCCGTGGCGCCCCCAAACCTACAACTGACTGATGATGACCACCTCTAGGACCCGGGGGAGCGCCGGAGCACGGTACAGCTCGCTAGCCAATGGAAGGGCTCAGCGAAGCTTCATTTGCATGTAGGTGCGTTGCGGCCAATGGGCAGGGACAGTGGAACTATATTTGCATATGGACGCGCCCGGGCCAATGGGAGGGGGTGACGGAGTGACATTTGCATGCAGGCGCGCCGTGGCCAATGGGCAGCAGCGCGGCGGCGCGGCGCGGCGGCGCACTCGAGCATGGCCGCGGCCGCGGCGGGAGGAGCCCCGGGTCCGGCCCCCGGCCCCGCCAGGCCCGCGCCGGCCGCCCGGAACCCGCCGGCCGTGCCGCGGAGGCGCGGGGACTCCCGGCGCCGCCAGGCCGCTCTCTTCTTCCTCAATAACATCTCCCTGGACGGACGGCCCCCGAGCCTGGGTCCTGGCGGGGAGAAGCCCCCGCCGCCGCCACCACCGCCCACCGAGGCCCGCGAGCCGCCCGCGCCGCCGCCCGCTCCACCCGGAGGCCTCCCGGGGCTGCCAGCCAGGCCCGCGCCCCAGGGCCTACTCAGCCCCACGACGGCGCCCGCCGGCCTCAGCCTGGATGGGCAGCGCCAGAGGTGAGTGGGCTGGGCGGGGCGAGCTGCTGCACACTGGGGTCCGGGGTGGCCTGGAGGCCTAGCCAGCACGCCCGGTGTGTGACCTGTGAGCTCGGCAGCACGGGGCACAAGAGTTCCGGTTAGTCATAGGCTCGGCAGACCTGGACATGGTTGGGGTGAGGTGGATCCATTCACCAGCACACAGGTTTGGTCACCTGGCATCCATCGGCTAGCATTCAGAGGTCTGGTGAGTCTAGGACAGGACATAAGGGTCAGGGTGGCCTGAGCCCGCCAGCCCAGTACTTCAGGGTCCATCACCCCAGCATGCGTGAGTCAGAGCGCATTGTAGACCTATCTGCCCTTGACTTGGGCTGAGATGACCTGGCGGCATCAGTCCCGAATACAGGGGACAAGTTTGGGGTTAACTGGAGCCTTGTCAGCCTCCGTCGCAAAAAGGAGATTTGCGTGTCCTGAAGCTTATCAGCCTCCAGGTACAGGGAATAGTTCCATTTAAGCCGTCAGCTCCTGGATATGGGGTCAGTTCCCTCAGCCTAACTGACTTTAGACACGCTATCAGTATCCTAAGCACTGGGAGTCACAAACAATTTTTACACACGTGCTGTGTGTCAACCTTGGGTTGTGGGCCAGGGTCCCTTCTCAGCCTTGTATACCTGGCCAGACCTTTCTCCTCCCATCCCACAGCTGCTGGACTCAGGACTGTCACACTGCACCCTGCACTTCTTCCCCTGCCTGGGTCATTTCTAGGGACCCCTCAGCCTAACCCCAGGCAGCTCTTCTTGCTAACCACTGCCCCACCCCCACCCCCGACTGTGCCCAAGTCCCAGTATCCACAGTCACCAGGCACTGTATGGGTCTCAGCCTCCTCAGTCCCCTCTGACTGTCTCAGTCTTCGCCTAAAAAGTGACAGTTGGAGGCCGCTCTGGCCGCTATGGTCCCTCCTGGGCAGGCCCCCCTACTGTAGGGCAAACTCCTGCCGGGTAGCTCCCAGGTGTGGGGAGCTCGGTTAGCATGGGTAAGCTATAGACTCACAGTGATGAGATGCCTCCCATGGCTGTGATGGGGAAAAGTTTTCTGACATAGGACCCTGCATCACATGTCTGTGTGGCCAGGAGGATCTGAACTTTCTGTGGTCAGCACCTGAGCCTGCAGGTTGTACCTAGGCCCTGCGTCTCCACGGGGGACAGGATTCAGTTTGTCCCAGAGTGTTAGCTGGACCCCTTGTGAAGAGCAGGACTGAGATGAGTGTGAAGTCTGCGTGGGTGAGGCACGCTTCGCTAGCTCTTCCTAGTTCTGCTTTTTGCTTCATTCTGATAGCCTCAGTACCGCCCACAGCTACAACTACCTATGGCCGACGTCTTTTCCTCGGGCTTCCAAGCTCTTAGCACTGCCCTAGAGTTGTTATCCTTCCTCTCATGGGCACAGGCCCTTGGGAAGAGACTGTCTACCCTCTCTCAGCTCCCATTCTGTGGCCAGGAGAGACAGTAGTGGGTGGCTAGTTAAAGGGGGCTACTGGCTCCCAGATTTAGTGCCCTGATCTGTTGGGGGGGTTGTTTTTTATTTTATGTACATTGGTGTTCTGTCTGCGTGAGAATGTCAGATCCTCTGGAACTGGAGTTACAGATGGTTGTCTGTTTTAATACACAAACACCTAGAGTTCCTGAAGGCTGTGTCACAATGAGTGCAGACCAGCTTTCTGCCCTCCAAAAGCTCTGTGACCTTGAGTGCCTAATGGGTCTCTTGGGACCTCAGTCTCCCCCTCTGCAATGGGCTGACATGAATCAAGACTTTCTCCTTGAGATCACATGATCTAAGAACTCAGGAAAGGGACAGCTGTTACAACTTGGGGCTCCTGACAGTGCTTCTGACTAGTGACAGGGTCACCACAGATTTTCCCCACGGTGCTTTTGGCAATTTTTATTATTATTTTTTTTTTTTTTTTTTTTTTTTTACTGCATGCCTGAGAGTAAGCGCATCTGTAGAATCTATGGTCAGGTTTGAATCGCGCATCCCAGCTACCTCACCCACTGCTGCCTTCTGCCCAGAAAGCCTATCTGCACCTCCAGAGCCATGGTGACAAAGGACAGGAACCTGGTAGCTCTCAACAGCAGCGCTTTCTTCCTGTAGCTCTGGATGGCAGGCACTGGGAGCCAGGCTGCAGCCTGGGGTGCCCTGCGGATCATGCTGTGTGGTTTCATTGCCTTTCCTCCACCTGCGTCCTCACAGACTTTTCCTGACCTCCTTTTGCCTTGGCCCCTTCTTAGACTGTCTCTAGACAAGGCCCTCACAAATGCTAGGCTTTTGATGGATCTTTTGGGGAACCACTTCAACTCACAACATCCCATAGTATCTGCCACAGAAATGAGGGGAAGTGAAAGTCCCCACAGACAAATGACTTAGCAGATTGCAGCCTAAGGCACCCACTATTGGAGGGCTGGGCATAGCCTGGAGGCAGGAGGCTGTGCCCTGCTTTGATCTGGAAGAGGAACCTAGGCCAGCCCCAACTGCCACTTACCATCTGCACATTAGTCTGTGCCCAGCATCTGCTCACTGTGGGGCAGGGGGCTCAGCTAAACCACTGGAGTAGTCAGATCTCTAGGACAAGCCAGGCACCTGCCCCCGCCCTGAGGCCCCACTCTGTCTGTGAGGCTGCTATGTCATGGAGTGCTGGCACCAGGCACCTTTGCTTTGCCTAAGACTCAGGAGGCTGTGATGCTGCTCAGGCAGGGGACTGGAGCCCGGAGCACCTGATGAGTGTGACAGCTGCCACCTGTGCTCCCTTAGCAGTGGAGGCTCCTGGGCCCTGAGCTCGCTGCAAGTACTGTCTGGGCCCCTCGCTGGGGCTCCTGAGTCTGCCCCAAGCCTGCATACACCATTTACTCTCCTTGGATCCCTAATGGGAACAGAAACTCAGCCACAGGGAGGTGGCCCTGCCTAGACCTCTCGCCACCACATGCCAGAAGCTGGTTTTAAGGTCTATAGTCAGGCTCCAGGTACTGGGAAAGAGCAGCGGTGGACTCCCCTGGCAGCAAGGCTGCTAAGGGGTAGTTCTGAGCTGAGTTAAGTTGCCAGAACTGATAAATGTGTAAGGCCCCTCAGCAGCCTCCCTCTCTCTCCTGACCCCTGACCTCTTCTTCCCAGGTCACATGCCATGCCACCATGCACATGGAGCTAGTGTAGACACTGTCCTGTGTGCGCTGAGCCCGGGTATGCTCAACTTGGGCTTACCCAGTTGCCTGGGCAGCAGTATCAGCAGTGACACAAAGTTCAGATTCTGCAGTGTCCTTGTATACTTGTCCACTTTAGCCGTTTTCACGTTGAGGTGCCCGGCGTATGTGAACATGGAATCTGAGTGTGCAGCTCCCTGTGTATGTTTGTGCACCCATACCATACATGGCCACTGTTCACTCCACAGAACAGCCCCTAGGTTTTCTCAACCCTCCTCAGCCATCCCCTGACCAAGACACCTTTTGTCGCATAGGGTGTCATACCTGAGTGTCATATACACAGACATCCCACATGTGTGCCCTTCTGCAGACCAGCACAGCTGTTACTCCCAGTGGGGCGTGACCCTGTCCCGTTTACTGAGCACAGGCTCTGCACTAGGAAAACTTGGCTCATCCTCGGAGTAGCTGAGCTGTTGGCATGGGCCTCTACTCCTCTCTGGCCAGCCAGCTGTTTGATTTCAGACAAGTTGAATGGCTCTGTACCGTAGTGTCCCTACCTGAAACTGAGTAAGAGTAGTGCCTCCCTGGTACAGTTCTGAGGATTGGATTTACAAATAACATGCTTATGAGGGAGGAGAAAGCCACAGGGAACAAGATGTTGGACCAAACGGGAACGTTTCAGGAGCTCCTGAGGGAGCACACCGTCCCTAGAGAGACCGTAAAGTGGCTGTCCCACACTGCCTCTGTGGACTTGCAAATTGAGATCCCAGGGCCATGATCAGTCATCTGGCCTTGCCTGGATAATTACCTCAGGGAATGCCACGCCAGACAGGTGGCCCTGAGGGCCTCAGAACCCAGACTCTTCCCTCAGGCTCCCATTCTGCTCCACATCAGGCCAGCTGCTTTCCTCTGCTCCAGACTGTGCATCCAGCCCTTGGCTAGTCCTCTCTAGGCAGATTCTGCCCCCTAACACCCAACACACTGTGAGCACGCATATGGCACCTTGCTAGCCAGTAAGGTTGTCTGAGCCTGCCCTTCTGACTGGTCCCGATCCCTCCTGTTCCAGGCCCCCTCTGCAGGTGTCTTGTTCCCACCACAGACACGGCTGATAGCTGCAGGTCCCTCAGGAGGTGGCACCAGAGGTACCAAGTGCTTTAGTCAGTTCACTCTTTTTCCGGTTCTGGTTGGGTTTCTGCAAAGTCCTGTGGCTCTTGTCATTTAAGATGTAAGTGGAGACCCATGCACTTGGATCACTGTGACGGTCTTGGAGCCTACCAGGACCTGAACTGAAACACCATTTGTGTAACCTTGGGCAGACTGGCCTCTATGCCACCGGTACTTGAGTGTCACGGGCTCTGAAGTGTTGGTGTGAGGTAGTGGCTGTATCTCCTGCCTCAGTGACAAGCATGGGCAGGGGCGTGGCTTGGGGATCGGCGTGGCCCTATCTGGCAGGCAGGTACCTGACCATGCCATACCTCATGTAAACCAGCTATCCTGCTGGAAGGGAACTCAGGTAACGATGCTACAGGGACAGTATGGGCCTGGCACCCACCAGATGCACCTCCGCACTTCATGCTTAGTAAATGGTTGCTGCCAAAATGTCAGGCATCATCCACAGACCTGTGTGCAGTAAGCACACAGCAGTCCTGCACAGTGCCCTGAGAGCTCCTTCTTGCAAATGGAGTCCACAGCCACTCCACAGCCCGTGCAGATAGTGGGCTGATAAATTATGTGTATGGTGTCTTATCTGCATGTCTGTCTGTGTACCATATGTGTGCTTAGTATCCACAGAGGTCAGAATAGAGGGTTGGATCCCTTAGAACTGGAGTAACAGGTGATACTGAATCTGAGTCTTCTGGAATAGCAACCAGAGTTCTTAACCACTGAGCCTTCTCTTCAGCCCCAAACAAGACTTTCTGTTTTTTAAAACAGGTTTTCTTTCAAACAACAGATTTTATTTCTCACGTTCTAGAATCCAGAGGCCCAGGAAGGTATGGCAGGCTCCCTTTGAGGCCTCTCCATTGTCCTGCCTTGTCATCATATGGTCCATCCTCTGTGTGTCTGCGCCCCAATCTTAAGGACACCAAAAGGGCCACCCAGTTAATCTCTTTAAAACCATATCTTAAAGCTCAGTCCTGTCCTGAAGTCCCAGGTTAACATATGAATTTGGAGGGGACATAATTCCACTAGCATCCCAGTGTGAAGAGCCTGTTAGGGGACATGCTCGGATCGCAAGTGCCAATACTAAAGTCCCAAGAGCTCTTACTTTCACAAGTTTCTAGTAACAAGCTGAAGCACACTACTCTGTGTGGTACTAGCAGCTTGCCCATACGACCCTTCCTCTCCACATCTCTATGCCTGATGTGCAGGTTTTCCTTGTCCATAAGGATAGGCATTTCTGAGCTGCGAGCACCTTGGACCGTTTGACTGACCCGGGTATTTGGACCTTTGGCACATCAGAGGTTCATTCTGCACTGGGAATCCCTCTGTGCCCAGCCAGCCACAGAACCCTGAAGGAAGCTGTAGAGAGGTTCTGGTCTTGAGTCACTTGTTAGCATTCCTGCCTGGGGCCCCTGGCTCAGTGCCAGCCTGGGGCTTTCCTCTCCAGGTTCCTAGAAAGCCTTGGATGTCAGGCTCACCTCATCTCTGTGTGTTTGATATGCCTTTGGCTGCTGGCCTTCAACACCCTTGGAAGCTTCTTAACTCTGAAGTAGCCACTTTGTGCCCATTGCCACCACAGTACCACACCACCCCAAGCAGTAACTCCACCACCATCAACATCGCCAATCCCATCCACACCATCTCCTGCAGTACCTTCTGGAGGTCCAGGAGGAAAAGAACATCCTAGATCCCAGAGCAGCTCCTGGGAGGGAAGCAAGCGTGCGTCTCTGACTTGAATAGCAATAGCAGCCTAAGCAGGGGCTTATACTGTATTCCTGGCATGGGCCACAACTCAGACAGCTTACTGTGCTGTTGGGGGCCTGGTACAAGCCGGACTCTGAGAGATGGGCCTGTTGGAACCACCATGCATGAGATGCTCCCACAGAGGGGAGTCTGGCAACCTTGTGTCAGGGAACAGGGTCCCCCACGTACAAGTGTTGGTTCACAGGTTCTTGAAGCCTGCAGCCTCATGATAGCCCTGCCCTGCATATTCCCATGCTAGTTCAGTTCTCTTCAGGGGTCCTGGCTGCAAAGATCCTGGAGTCTGTAGTGCTGGCTCTTCTGAGGCCATGATGTCTTCCCACAGGAGACGAGTCACATCTCAGCGCTGTTCCCTCGAATTTCTGGAAGATGCAGTGGGGTGTGCCTCGGTGCAGAGGTATGCACCCCACATGCCCCTACTCCAAGGCCCTGAGTTCCAACGGCCTCTGACCCCTGAGGCCACAAGAAAGGCAAGAACGACCTGCTTTTTACCTTACAGAACCAAGCACGCCTCTGGGTCACCAAGACACAAAGGCCTGAAGAAAACCCACTTCATCAAGAGCATGCGGCAGTATGATACAAAGAACAGCAGGTAAGAGCACAAGGGGCAGGGCCTGGGGCGGGGCCTGGCCTGGGGCGGGGCCTGGCCTGGGGCGGGGCTGCCCACGGTGCTCCCCACCCCAGAAGTGCTCAGGATAAGAGGAGTGCTGTATTGGCAGGGGCGGCTGTGGGGCATACACAGGGTAAAGCGTGGCTACACTTGGGAGCACATAGGAGAAAATCACACTGGGGACACACAGGTATATCAGGGGACATTTGGAAGCTGGACTGAAACTGGTAGTTGGCTCCCAAAACAGTGCTGGGCTGGGCTCTGGACCGGTGCAGGCAGGGCTTTGGCTGTGTCCCTCGGTGCCACACTACAGGCACTCTGACCCTCTCTAGGAGCCAGAACCTCTTTCCTCCGTAGGTCACCCTGGTAAGTATCTGCAGGGAATGTTGCTACAGGACTGGCCAAGGTGGCTCTCTGCAGATCCTGAGCTCCAAGACTGCCTGCAGCCTTGGGTCCTAAGCCCCTGGATAACTGAGCTCTGTGTTAGATCTGGGTGCTCTCTAGAGCATTGGGCCTTGCCTGATGCTAATGAGCTTTGGCCTCACCTTCCCGCGCCCTGACTTTGTGCAAATGAAGTCTGCCCTTTCCTGGGTGACCTGTGTCCCCAGGAAACATGAAGTCTCTGACCCTGTGTGTTCCAGGGTCAAGGGAGATCTACCCAGCAGCCCTATGGTACTCCTAAGGCTCTGCCCCCTGGGAACGGAGAGTTGCTTACTTACTAAGCAGCTCGGGGAATCGGCCATGTGCAAAGATGCCAGGCCTGGCTTCCTAAATCCCAGGCCCCACTGTGGCTCTGTCAGTTCCCATCACCCAAGTGTGGGCAGGACAGAATTAAGGCCCTGCTCTGACCTGGGCTTCCCACAGGATCGTGCTCATCTGTGCCAAGCGGTCCCTGTGTGCGGCCTTCTCAGTCCTGCCCTATGGAGAAGGCCTCCGGATCAGGTAAGGGCCCGTGCCATATACACTGATGAGCCTGGTCCTGGGCTCTGAGTGCAGCAACAGCACAGCCCATCACTGAGTATGGGCTGGGCCCTTAGGCTCATTGGGTATCGGCATGCCATCTTCCACCGTAGCCCATGAGCTTACATTTCAGGTTCCTATTCCCTGGGGGCCATAGGTTCTGATTAAACTATGTATAGGTTGGCTGAGATATTTCTGTCCCTCCCCAGATATGCTCTTAAAACCTTGTGACCAACCCAGGCAGTTATGTCCTGAGTGTAATTCAGGGAAGAAGGAAGCAGCTGTTGGGGCGGGGCAGTGTTGTATGTGACCCCACAGAACAATAAATAGTCAACACAGAGAAACCTGTCCAGAGTGGGTGGTAGCCAGTTCTCAGGGCCCTGGGCCAGCTGCTGAGCTGTATGACCGCAGAGGAAGGGTTAGAGGCACCCAGGGAAGCAGATCTGAGCCCAAGCACAGGTGAGTGTTCAGGGATGTTCCAGAATGGTGGCTTTCTGTTGCTTTGACAGATGACATCTGTCTGGGGCAGGAGTGAGACAGACGACCTTCAGCTTAAACCTGTCTTGACCTCCAAGGTCATGCCCATCTACATCTCTTCCTGTGCTGGGGTTCTGTGTGAGGATGAGCAGACAAGGTTGCCACACATTCATCGTGGGCCAGGCATCCACCCGCTGATTGCAGGAAGAGGGACTACAGCCTCTCTTCTTCTCTCCTTATCATTACAGTGACCTGAGGGTGGACAGCCAGAAGCAGAGGCACCCATCCGGCGGCGTTTCTGTTTCTTCCGAGATGGTCTTTGAGTTGGAAGGCGTTGAGCTGGGAGCAGACGGAAAGGCAAGAGCCCTGTGGCCGGCCAGTGGCCATCATAGTTAGCTAGACAGGGGCCTCACACATTAATCTAAGACACAGTATTGGGGACAACGCACTCATCTATCACTAGCTGGCCCATGCCACCCCGAGAAAAGGCCTAAGAATACACCATACATGGCTATTGCTAACTGTAGGTGACCCAACTGTCTCCCTCTGGGCTGTCCACACCTAGCCCTGCTTCTGAACCAGTAGGCCAAGGCCAAGGGTCTTCCAAAATGGGGAGACTTGCACAGCTGCAGGCCCCAGGGATGGAAACGAGCACCCTGCCGTAAGAGCACCTGCCCCAGTGGACAGCAGCCAGCAGCATGGCCCTCAGGCTCCTTGCTGGTGTGGAGGGAAGCAGAATTTGGTTGCAGTTTCTGACCTAGGGAAGCAAGACTGACCTCTCATGTAATTGCCTTTCCAGGTCGTGTCTTATGCAAAGTTCCTGTACCCTACTAATGCCCTGGTGACACACAAGAGTGACAGTCATGGCTTGCTGCCCCAGCCTCGGTCCAGCGTCCCCCGGGTTCCACCAGGTTCAAGACACAAAGCTGTGCCTACCAAGTCAACACCAGCTGGCGCAGAACTAGGTAGTCCAGGTGCTTCACCATGGCACCAGGGAGGCAGCAGCACTGGCTGGGCTAGGGACAGTGATGGACAGACAGCAGTATGAGCCACATCTGCACTGAGGCTTCCAGAGGAAAGGATCGGTGTGGGAAGGGGTCGCTGTCCGGGTGTCACTTGTACCCAAGCCCTGGCCCTCACCTGGAGTCCCTCTCCAACCTGGGAGCTATGGTGTGATGCTTCCCCCTTGGGCATGGTGGGTAAGTGGTGGCATGGGTTCTGACCAGGATCTAGGGTGTCAATAGCTGCCTCTGCTTACAGGGAACGATGTGGGAGATGCAGTAGAATACAACCCCAACCTCTTGGATGACCCACAGTGGCCATGTGGGAAGCACAAGCGGGTGCTTATCTTTGCTTCGTACATGGTGAGTTCCGCAGCCCTACACTGTTCAGGGTTCGGGGAATAAACTGAGTGAGCAGGCTTCAGCATCCAGAAGCATGAAACAGCCATTTCAGGGTAGGGTGCCTTGTCCCCATCCAGCACCAGCAGGTGGGACAGGGCCATAGATAAGGGCCAGGCTGGACAGGCTTCTGGGGTCAGCTCTGGATGCCTGGGCCTGTGTCTACAGAGGACAGACAAGCTGAGCCATTTTATCCTCAGAAGTACAGGTACCTCTCTGAAGTTCCACATACGCAGTCTGTAAACCCAGGCCGCAGGGCATCCACTCTGAAGGCACGTCTAGGCTCCACCCACCTCTACTTCTGTTATAGACCACGGTTATAGAGTATGTGAAGCCTGCAGACCTCAAAAAGGACATGAATGAGACCTTCAGGGAGAAGTTCCCTCATATCAAACTGACACTGAGCAAAATTAGGAGGTAAGAGAGGGCCAGGCAGATGCCCCTACCCAGCCATATAACCTGGCCCTGGGCTTTCTCCTTGGAGAACATAGTGTCTTTTCTGACAGCCCACAACACGTGGCCTAGCCATGGAAGGGTGGCTGATGCTTCGTCATAGCTTCATGACCATAGATTTGCCCCGGGGACATGGCCCCCATCCCACCCACAGTTTAAAGCGGGAGATGCGAAGCCTGTCTCAGGAGTGCAGCCTGGAACCTGTGACCGTGTCCATGGCCTACGTGTACTTTGAGAAGCTCGTGCTGCAGGGCAAGCTCAACAAACAGAACCGTAAACTGTGTGCCGGTGCCTGCGTTCTGCTGGCTGCCAAGATCAGCAGTGACCTCCGCAAGGGCGAAGTCAAGCAGCTCATTGATGTGAGTGTGGAGGTGTGCACGGGCACCCCACGAGCACCCGCGCCGGGCATTGAACCGCAGGTGGGGGCCGCAGACGGGGCTAACCTGCTGACCCTTTACTTCCTTCACTGCAGAAGCTGGAGGAACGGTTCCGGTTTAACAGACGAGATCTCATTGGATTTGAGTTCACGGTGCTTGTGGCCCTGGAACTGGCCCTGTACCTCCCTGAGAACCAAGTGTTACCTCACTACAGACGCCTCACCCAGCAGTTGTAGCCTGGAGTAGTGCACCTGCAGGAAGGCTGCCTGGTAGGAAGGCAGGTAGCTTGGCTAGAACACTAGTGTCCTGTCCCTGCTCCAATACTGCACTTGCCCCTCACAGCCCAAGGTGACTGTTGGTTTCCTAGGAGACACTGCTTCCATTCAGAAGTGCACCACACCTCACAGCACTTGTGAGAATTTCCTGGCGGAAATGAACAGTGTGGGGTTTGGCTTGCTCTTGGAGTGCCTGAGACCAGCCTGGTTTACACTGTGATGGATCCTGAGGTCCAGCCCTTGAAACCTACCACAGCTAAGAGGTTCCCGTGAGGGACAAGTGTCCACACCTAATGTGCTAGGATTGCCAGCCAGGCTTGTTTCTGGAAATGGCTGTGTAGACCCTGCCTCCACCCTAACAGCCGTTGTCGTCAAGGTAGAGGGGAAGGCAGATGTTGACCCACTCTGCTTTTGCTTACTCTTTGGACCTTGTTGTGCATCTGTCACATATACAGCAAGGCTTGGCCAACCCCACACCTGACAGAAACTTCCCTGCAGCACTGGGCTTTTGAGACAACTGCTGACTTGAGGCTCTCAACTTTCCTAAGCAATACTGCGATGGAGAAAAAGCATTGCAATTTGGGATTTGGTCCCAGAAGCTGGTCCAGTAAGGTCCACTGGTGTAACTCTGTAACCACACCTGATCTTCAGGCAAGAAGGCACTGACCCTGTCACCTCAAACAGCAGCGTAGACGCCATTGAGGTTAACATGCCTACGTATCCGCTGTGCCATTGCCCTTTTGCTTTCTCATGACAACCAGTCACTAGCCTGGGCTCCACAGCCTCACCGATCCCCAGCCATGCTCATGTCCCTCAGGCCTGTACTAGCCAACCACCTAGGACCATAGCATCTGTAATAGCTTGAGCGTAAGGGAACCCTGCAAAACAGTGACAAATCTGTCTTTTATATTGACCATGCTTATACTGGTGTAAGCAAATCCATACCCCTACAGCATCTTGGGTGCCAGACAACGGTCCTGCAAACATGTCATCTTCAAGGTGGCTCCCTCATTTAGTTTAGTTTAAGATCAACTTCCTAGGCATTGCTCCAACTTACAGGCTATCCTTGGAGGACACCTAGGCAGCTTCCTCTAGGTGTATAGTTAAGTGTTAAAGCTGGTAGACAGCACTAACTTAAGCTTATATATTTATGTTGTAAGGTTTATTATTTACCAAGCTTGTCTGCTAGTCTTCCCTCCCAGTCGTCTTTAGTGACGCCAAGAGCTGCTGCTGTATGATGCCAAGCTGCTGGAACAAAACCAACCTTAAACCAAATGGCAGGCTAAACCCAGAAATCGGAGCTGTACCCATGGCGTCCAGCTGGACTGTGACCCAATGCCACAGACCCGGTGCTGCACCCTTAGCACCCAACAGTAGGCACCAATGTTTGAAAGGGTATCTGACCTCAGAATGTCATGTGTGTCCCGTGGGTTTTCCATGGATGGTGTTAAAATGTTTTTGTTAAAGTAAAACTTGGTTTTGCAACATACTCCCTAGTTTGTCTCCTTTCAGATGAATGTGCTGCCCATGTTCAGCCCTGCCCACATGCTAAAAGCAGACAACTAACATTGGTAATGTCTCACTTTTATTTATGACAAATATTCTCCCATCTCTTCTGGTCAGAAGTTCCTAACAGTGGAAGAAAAATAATATTAAATAAAAGCCATAACTCTTGGACACTTCCAGGCCACTCAACCCCAATGTGATTCCCCACACCACCACCACACACTTACTTTGAGACAATTCCATCAGCCTTAGCCAATCGGAGAATAGAATCGTCTGACTCCCCCTTAAAGTTAAAAAGAAATCCCTGAGTATCCCCATAGGGTTCCCAGCTCAGCAGGTCAGAGCACGCACTAGCCATACCCAAATCTGCACCCACACCAAGGAGATAGAGCGAGCTCGAACAAGGAAGAAAACCAACCACCTAAGTCTTCCTAGAGCAAGCCTCCATGGTCTGAGAGGCCTAAGGCGGCAAAGAGCAAACCTGTCCTGTCGATCATTTCTTCCCGAGGAAGGGACACCACCATCACAGCACAAATGTGAACAGTACCGAAAGACGAGTCTACGTGATAAAACAAACTCACCATCCTGCGAATGGCCCCGCAGATGGCATAGGTCTTAAACTGGCCATTAAACCGGCCCGTGGACCTGTCGACCTGTACAGGGAGGAAAGATTAGGAGATTCGACGCCACCCCACACTTTAGCTCTAGCCTGGGTATTAGGAAACACCAACGCGCGAAGCCAGGCATTGAGACCTAGCTGGGCCTCCTTCCCACCCCCGGAACAAGCCTCGCCGTCGGGTTCCCAGCTCACCTCGGCCACATTCATCTGGATGGACGCGTGGTCCTTGGCACCAATGATGCGGTTGCTCGCGGAGCTGATGGGAGAAAGCAGTGCGTGTGGTGGGCCGCGAAAGGAAAACGTGGGTGAAAAGGAGGAGCGCGGGCGCGGCAGACCCTTACCATTTCCGCGGCACGTACAGGTCCACGAACTCGCCGGCGTCGTTCTGCATGTCGAGACCGCGCCTGCGGGATCATCGCGCGGGCCATGAGGTCGGCCGGGCCCGCACTCGAGACTGCGAGCCCAGCAGACCTATTCCCGAGCGCCCGGGCCACCGGCCCGCGACCTCCCCGCCCGGCCCGGCCCCGCTCGCGCCCACAGCCCGCCGCGTGCTCTACCTGCTCTCTAGGCCAGCGGAGCGCAGAAAGGAAGCGGCTCGTCCCCAGGCAGCTCTATTGGACGGGAGGGGCGGTGCGTTAGTGAATGCTTCCGGGTCACGCCGCTCGTATCCACCGCCCCGGAGGCCGGCTTGGGTGTCTTTTTTCCGCTTCCGGTGCAAAGAAGCTCCGGCTCTTCCGCACAAAGCTCGGGCCCTGGGGCCTGGCTCCACCCCCTCCAAGGCGTGGTTCCGCCTCAGGCCCCGCCCTCAGCGCTCTCCCAGCCCCGCCCCTCCCAGCTCCGGCTGCTTCTCCACCTGCTGCAGCTGATGCTTTGCCGGGCGCGGCGGCCGTGGCGTCCTGCGAGGACGCGCCCGGGATCCGGAGGACGTCGGAGGAAGCCGGGCGCCTGCTGGAACGCCGACACCCAGACCTGCGCCTGGGAGTCGGCTCCCGGGCAGCCGCCGCCAGCCTCGGAGTGGAACGGCCGAGCTGGCCGAGGGAGGCGGGGACGGGCGGGTGTCGCAGGGCTGCGACCCAGCTGCAGCGCCTCGGTCGGAGCTGCCGAGGCCTGCGAGGCGTCGGGACGGGAAGCCCAATGCTTGAGGTAGGGGAAACTGAGGTCGGGACAAATGAGCGGCGCCGCAGGCCCTACGCTGCACTTTCACTCTCTTGGAGGACCCCACCCGCGAGCTTCCCTGCCTGGCATCCACCCAGGCTCCGGCCCTCTCCCCAGGCTCTGCCCACTCCTGCTCGGTCAGCGCTGTGTTGTGAGCCTCTGGCCGGAGGGTGCACCCCTTCTAATCTCAGTACACTGTACAGTACACTGTTGCCACCCACATTCACCATAATGCGGTCAGCCCCCTGGTGAAGAGGCTACAAACCAGCCCCACACAAGACTCGGTCTACACTGTTGGCTTTCCTGCCACTACATTTCTTTACGTGGGGATCCACTTGTCTCGCCTGTTGTCTCTCTGGGACTGGCGCCTCAGGTGTGTATACCCGGTTAAATGATCTTGGGGAGGGTGAGCCCTCCCTGCCACGTGCACCCTCGGGGTGATCACCTTCCCAGGACAGTCATGAGGTCTGGTGAGACCGAAGCTGCCCCCTCCTCACACCTGGAAAAGCTAGTCACTGTGTCTGCAGTTACGCTTACTGTGCATCAGAAGTGGGAACACCCAAGCCATTGCCCCTTGGAAGGCCATGAGGCCTGTGTACAGGGTGGTGTGATTATGTCAGAGCTTTGAGAGGTGCCCCTGCGTGTGTTGACTTGAACCCCGAAGGCCTCCTTAGTGGCCAGAGATGGCGCAGCCAGAATGCCAGTAAGAAGAAAGTGGCCAAGGGGGAACTCCGGAAATCTGTAGTAGCTCTACTCAGCAAATTTAGCAGTCCTAGAAAGAGCTGGGACTGGAAAAAGTTGGGAAGTTTAGTGCATATAGCACTGGCTAGAGTGTTGAGAAAGGTCTAGCCTCTGGTAACAGTCCTGAACAATGCCTAGGGCCACCTTACATTATAAAAAACGGGACCTGCAAGGGTCAAAGTATCACCAAGTAACCCCCCAAAAAATGGAACTCAGAGGCTGCGTGAAGCCCACAACAAAGGAAAAGTTCATTTTCTGGTGTCCACTCAAAGACTGCCAGATCCAGCAGCAAGGGAAACTGGCCCAGAACTGAGAGAGTTTAGAATTAGCAGATAAGATTGTGATGGGGTTTTCATAGAATGTGTTTAATCTGTTCAAAACCTCCGAGAGAAGACGACCACGACCACTCAGAGCTGGGTAGGAGTGTCAAGAGTTTGGTCTGAGGCTACGAAGTAAGACCCTGTCTCAAAAAGCTAGAACGAAAACTAGCAGAAAAGCTCAAACTTCTAGTTGGAAAGAAAAGAGTAATTGAAGTAATAAATAAGCCTCCTCAGTATTATGATGCTTTGTCCTTCTGAGGAGGCTGAGGCCGTATTTGGGCTACAGCCACCAGTACCATGCCCAGCAGACACCGGCCCACTCACACCAGCTACTTCTGCGGCTCTCAGCACTTAGTGGGTCCTCATCCAATGTGACTGACAGGTGACCCGAGGTGACCCGAGACCAGTGGTCTCATCAAAGCAGCCAGTGTAGATGTGGATCCATTCTAGCCTGGCTACTTTGTTCCTGATTTTGATGTGAGGACTAGTAGACTTGACCAGCAGAGGCCCTGCCCCAACCTAAGGAAAAAGTAAAACCACAGAGGTTGAGTGCTGGGACTAAAGGTGTGCATCACCACTGCCCGCATTAATCTTGTAGGACGTCAATGAATCGAGCATGGTGGCACACACCTTTAACCCCAACACTTGGGAGGCAGAGGCAGGTGGACCTCTGTGAGTTCAAGACCAGCTTGACCTACGAATTGAGTTCCAGTCTGGGTGGGAAGCCAGCCATGCTGGGGAGAGAAGGCCCAGTCAGCACATACTTTCTGCACAGCATGAGGACCCAAGTTCAATCCCTAGACTCCAGGTGTGACAACCCAAACCTGTAATCCACGGCCAAGGAGGCAGAGGCAGGAGAATTCCTGGATCTTGCTGGTCAGCTACTCTAGTGAATCAGGAGATTCCAGATCCAGGAAGAGACCCCAAAAATAAAGGGATGAGGCCCTGCACTGAAGGAAAGAGCCTCCGAGGATCTGCAGAGGTCAGACTGCTCAGAGCAGGCGGCATCCTCACATCCCCCTGTACTGCCCCTAGTCACCACTTGGGGGCAGCGGAGAGCCATCCTGGGTCAGAGGCTAAGTGAGAACTAGGGAGGGGAGAGGGAGGTCGCCCTGCAGAACCTTAGGCCTCAGAGTTGAAACTGTTTGTGCAAGGCAGTCCTGTCATGGTCACTGAATGGCCCTGGGTCTCTTCCCCAAGAACAGCTGCTCTGCCCAATGTACCCCAATACCACATAGGGATTGTGGGCCGGCTTTGTATTTGCTGTTACTTTTGGGAGGGGGTTGTAAGAATGTTATTTTGTTCTTTTTGTTGTTGCTTGCTTGCTTTTGTTTCTCAAGTCAAAGTTTCTCTGTGTATCCCTGGCTGTCCTGGAACTCATTCTGTAGACCAGGCTAGTCTCGAACTTACAGTGATCCTTCTACCTCCCTAGTGCTGGGATTAAAGGCATGCATCACCACTATCCATATTTATTGCATTTTACTTATTTGTGGACACGTTTATACATGCTGGTGCACATATGACTTGGTGTGTGTGTGTGTGTGTGAAGGTTCAAGTACAATTTGAGGAAGCCGATTCTCTTCTTACACCGTGTGGAACCAAGGGTCTAACTCAGGGCATTGGTCTAGGTGCCGTTCTCCACTGAGCCATCTCTGGACCTCTTCTGACTCTGGAGATGGCTCAGCAGTTAAGAGCACAGGCTGCTCTTCCAGAGGACCTGGGTTCCATTCCCAGCACCCACATGGTAGCTCAAAACTGTCTGTGACCCAGGAGATCCCAACATTCTCAAACATACAGGCAGGCAAAACACTGGTTCATATACATTTGGAAAGAAGTATGCTGTATCTGGACAGATAATATCACATAGGTATTGTGGGCTAGCTTTGTACTTGTTTCTGTTTGATCATCCTTTTTACTCTTAAAGAGTCTCATTTCCATTTTATGTGAATGGGTGTTTTGCCTGTATGTGTGTATGTGCATCGTGTGTGTCTGGTGCCTGCAGGTGTCAGAAGAAGGCACCAGATCCCCTAGAACTGGAGCTACAGATGGTTGTGAGCTGCCCTGTAGGTGCTGGGAACCAAACCTGCATCCTCTTGAGGAGCAGCTAGTGCACTCAGCTGCCACGCCATCTCTCCAGACCCCCTCCCTTCTGCTCCTTTAGCCATGACCTCGGACAATTTGTGTAGTTGTTTCTTCTAGCTACAAAGCGGAGTGATTGTAATGAACCCACCCTACAAGCCTGGAGTCACTTATATTCAGTTAGTTAGCATATGCACAGTTGCTCACCTAAGGTGTGTACCCAGAAGGTGCTTGGTATACCAGAACTTACCACCATCATCATTCCTACCATCGCCACCATTATTGCCAATATCGTAACTACCATCGTCATCATAAATCACCAACATTCCATCATCAGCCCCGTTACAGTCTCATCGTGATCACTTTCATCGATATTATAATTCAAATTTTGGGTGTATAGGATCCCAATCCTCAGTCTTACAGTCTTGATCTGGGTTCTGGGGTTTTGTGTGCAGCGGACCCCACTGGATTTCCTATACCCGCCCTGAAGCCCCACCTCACAAATATGTAAGCTGAGACTTAGTGTACAATGGAGCAGCTATGTGTGGGCGGGCCAAGGGGTGGAGCTAGGCCAGCGTCCAGTACAGTTTGTGCGAAGGGGATCCAGCTAGGACAAGGAAACCTTCCTAACAGGCCTGGACTTTGGTCAGGGTAAGGGACAGGCCTTCCCCTGGGGCAGGTCCAACCAGGGGTTTCAGCCCCTGCCCACTCGGGTCCCTCCAGGATGAAACGCTGACCCAGCACATAGTGGGACTCCTAGGACCACTGCTTCCCAGCATGGTAGAGACCATTTTCTGGTCTCCGGCAGCCAGCAGAGGGTCAGCCACACTACTGGAGTCTAGAGACCCATCAGGTCATTAGCCTCAGGCCCAAGGAAAACAAGTGGGAATGCTGGCCTGGGTCCTTCCTGCTGCCTTCCATTCCTTCTACTCTGTTCTGTTATGGTTCGTGTCGACCTGACATAATCTAAAACCCACTGGGAGCATGTCTGTGGGGGATCATCTTAGCGATGCTCACTGACGACGTGGGAAGACCTGTCTGCTATGAGTGGGCCCATTCCTTAAGCAGGAGATCATCCCAGGCTAGTGAAGTGGAGAAACTGAGCTGAGACCTTGTGAAGAATAAAACACTGTTTGGCTAGTGGCCAGGCAGGAAGGATAGGTGGGTCTACCAGAGGAGGAGACAAGGAGAATTCTGGGAAAGGTAGGCAGGGGGAGACTGGAAAGAGACACCACGGATTGACCAGGAGGATAGGACCAACCAAGCATTCTCCGATACGATAAGGCCATGTAGAAATAGATTAGTAGTTATGGATTAATAATTAAGACAGAGCT